ATGGGTTAAGTTGCGAGTTTTGGGAAATCTTAGCCTTGGAAAGCTCCACAAGAGATTTTATTTTTAGTTCTAGAAAGACATAGGAAATAAATCCTCCACTATTCAGTCCCCTCCTCCCTGCCCTTCGAATCTTATTAATTCAAAAATCAACACACACAAACCAAGTCCAGAACAACAATAACCATTCTCTCCAATTCCCAATTTTTGGCAATAAAATCCGGGTGGGCATTTAAAACCTTTTTGTTCATTACATTGTTTTAATTCTCCACTTTCCAAATCCTCGATTGGCTCACCTCTAAGGCAAGTATTTAATAAACCTTTTTTTAAATAAAATTTTAAAAAATTATTTAAAGACAAACATTGAGGAATTAAACAAAAATAAAATATTTTATTTTTATTATTTTCTTCACATTTTTGTCTAACGAGACGACAAACAGTTCCGATAGGGCATTGAATAGAATCACATAAAGGTGAACGGCAAATACATTGTGGACAGCCTAAACCATCCATTTGGAAACTAAAAAAAGTTTTTAAAATTGAGATGTGTGTCTTTTCTTTAATTAAAGAAATGTTGTGGTGTGGAGGGGATCTAAGGGGATATTTAAGTTTTTAAACTCATTATAGGTATGTATTGTAAAGCATCTAGCTATTTAATTCCTAAGGCTGTGCAGTAGGCGGCGTGGTGTAATGGCTAACACATCAGTCCGATCTAATGAAGATGCTGGTTCGCTTCCAACGGCCGATTAACCTTTTGCACTAGCTGAAGGAGAGAAATAGCTATAGCCCAGCTGCTTTACTGTATCTTGACTAATAATCAAGATTTTATGTTTTATTATTTAAAATCTTTTCAAACATAAAATATTAATTTATTTTTCCCCTCCAAATTTATTTTTAAAATTATTTAATTACCCAAAAGGGCATTTTAATTCACAATTTACTGAAGGACATATTCTTCTTAATTCACACCCTCTAAAAACTTCATTTGGTGCTCTTGTTCCATACAATTCAATCCCCGTAGAAGATAAATTATCAACACACCAAGTAAACCCGTCAAGACTTTGAATAGGTAAATAATGACCAGAACGGTCACATTTTGGCTTTAAATAAATTTAAAAAAATATTTTTTTTAATAATCCTACTTTTTGTAATTTATTGTAATCAGAAAATTTTGAGAAAATTTCTGCAGAAATACTGAAAATAGAATTTAAATAATTTAATTCGGTAATTAATTACCGAATTAAAATACATTTAGAAGTTCCACTTTCTGGATATAAACAAATTAGTTTATTCCCACAAATATCACTACAACATTTTTGAAGTCCTTCGCAGTCATTATCTTTTAAATATTTTTTTGGTTAAAAATTAAATTTAAAAATTTTTTTAATTCCCTTTTAATTACCATTATTGCATTCATTCTCTTTAATTTCATTTATTTTACACAATTGTTGAATAATTGTTGTTGTATTTATTTTATTTAAAAATATTTTTGGACAATTTCCAAACTTTTTTGTTTTATTATTTTGAGATAATTCGATTATTTGTTTTTGATTTTCTATTGAAGTTTTGATTTTTGTCTAAAAAAAGAAGCTTAATTTTAAGCTAAAGAAGCTTAGAATTAAATTATTTTTGTATAAATTAAAACAATTTTTGGGATTTACATTAATATAATCCCAAAATTAAATAATATTCTCTCCATTTGTATTTTTTAATTTTTGTTTAATTAATTGTACAATAAATATCCTAATAGTAGAAACCCACACCCTATCTAATTTTGCAAGCTTTGGGATGGGGAATAATTAGTCGAGTTTTGGCATTTGAACATGCAGTAGGGTAATTGATTGTGGGGAATTATTTTTTCAACTCATCCCTGGCATGGGGAATTAATCGAGTAAATACGGTGTTAGTAAGAATACCCACAAAATACCCCAAATAATTTATTTAAAACACACACACCTGTGTAGGCCTTTGTATAACAAATTTATTTTTATCTTCATTATTATCTTCATTTAATCCTTCCAATCCCTCTGCATTTTCATTATTTAATTTAAAACAATTTAGCCCACACCCATTAAAACAACATTTCTCCCCCTTTCCAAAACAATCTTCGTCTGATTTACATTTTGCTTGACATTTATTATTTAAATATAAATTTGTTGGTGTTGATTTTTTAAATGGGCAATTACCCGGTTTTGACAGCTTTTTTGGTTCTGGACAGCAAAAACCTAGTCCATTATAGCCAATCTGAGAAATTTTAAATAAATCGGTAATTAATTTTTCAGGTTTTTTCCTTAAAAGAAGAAAAAGCTTTTAAAGAAAATAAGCTCTAAACAATTAAAAATAAATTTAAAAAACTGGAATTTTATTTTTTTAAAGAAAATTTTTAATAAAAGTTTTGGAAATCATAAAGAAAACTTGCCTTGTGGCACCAATAACCCTCCCAGCATTGTTGGGTTCTTTTACAAAGAGCGGTAACACCATTACTCATAACCATTGGAGAACCTTTTGGGCAGGGATTTAATAAACCTAAAAAAGAATTTTTTATATTTTTTTTCAAAAAATATTTACAATCAAAGTCAAAACTGTTTAAGAAATATTTACTAAAATTTAACTTACATTTTGCTACTGTAGGGCAAGGAATTGTTAAACAATCTAGTTCGACAAGTTGACATTTATATAAAGGATTTACACATCTAAATTAATTTTTAAAATTTTCTCAATAACAGAAATATTTTAAAGATAGAAGGGCATGTCATTATAGTCCAAGTTTTAAGGCATTTTATAATTACCTCAAAAAATAATTGTCAATTTTTCTCCTATAACACAAACCCAGAATTTAATTTATTTTAATTAATAATTTATTTTAATTTAATATCAATTAGAGAATTTACAGTATGTAAAATCAGAAACTGGGTCTGTATTTACTAAAAACTATCAAATAGATAGGGGACTTTGAAGATCAAAAAATGTTTAAGATCAAAGATAGAAGGGCATTTTAAAGATAGAAGGCATAGAAGGGCATCCTCTTGTTCTTCTTTTTTTAGTTAAATTATAATTATTTAATAATTTAATTGTCTTTCATTTAAAAAAATATTTTATTAACTCACTTGATCTGTTCACATTTTAATAAAGGATTTTCTATATTTGGACGAAGTAAAATAGAATTTATAGGGGAACTTTCTTCTTCAATATTCTCTTCTTCTTCCCCTTTTTTAATTTCTTTTTCATTTTTCCTTCCTTCATTTAATTGTTTAATATATAAATTATTTTTTAGAGGTTGGATTTGTACAAGTGGACGAGGGGAAGAAGAAATTAATTTAGTAATTGTAGATATACATTTCCACCCTCCACATTCACTTGGACAGCAACGACTATTAGGTAATTCAGAACAATCCAAATCATTAAGGCATTGGATTGGACACCAATCAGTTGTTGATTGTTGTATATTTTTGTTTATATTTATTACTTTAAGAGAGGATATTAATTAATAATTATTAAAAAAATTTTTTTAATTAGAAAAATAGAATATTTTTTTGAGAGGTAGCTAAAACACAAGTTGGGGGAGAATATTGGAGAAGACAACAAAAATATTTTAAATTTTATTCATTTTAGATTTTAATACCCGGACATTCTCCATCAAAAATTTCATCGTCTTTACTTTCATGCTCATTAACCGGATTAATTTTATCGGATGAAATAGTCGAGGATATTATTATTTCCTCATCTTTTGATGAATTAATTAAATTAATGAATATAATAAATATTAATTTAAATATTTTAAATTTAGTTTTCATATAAAATTGTAGACTAGAAGAATCTTCTCTACTAATATTTGCAGTTAGAAAACAGGGATTAAGAAGTTTAATTTAAATTTAACTGAGAAACTTTGAAATAATTTTTTTAACTAACAATCAGAAAATTATGCAAATTCGAGTAAAAATTAAAATTATTAAAAATCATCGATTTCCATATTTTTAAATATTTTAAGTACAAAACAAGTTACTAAAATTGTGTGGGATTTTCACTAGTAAAATTCTAACAGTGAAAGTCGCGCCAAAGGCAACTTGAAATACTCACACATTTTTCACAACATCACTCGACCCACAATAACAATAGAGAATATATTTAAATACTGAATGTAGAAGTAGAAACAAATAAACACATCCATAGCTTTTCGATCACGCAAGCAGGAAATATCCTTCCATAATTACCCTCCCTCCCTCCCATTCAATGAGTGAATTAAAAGTAGAGAATAAAATAAAAAATAATTTTGGATTTTTATTTTACTGCTAGGCTTGTTTTTGCTTACTAAAGCAGATAAAATATTTTTACTTAATTCCTTCCAGTCATTAATAAGAAGATAATAAAGGATTTTTGCCTATTTTTTGTGCAAAAAAAATTAGTGAATGAATTTATAAAGGGGGACCTTCTCTTATATTAGGTTGCTGATAAAGCTTACACTCTCAGACTAATTTTTAAACCTTCTTAATTTTCCAAAAAACTAATATGTATAAGGTTAAATTGATATCCCATTGTTTTAAAAAAATAATTTTTTAAGAAAACCCGTGTCCCTTATAAAAAACACTTTCTACCTTATTTTTATAATTAAAGCATAAAACGAATTAATTTTATCAAAAAGTTTGTTGTAAAGATTTTGTATATAAAAACAAGTTTTCAAAAACATCAGAATCCGGAGTTAATTGGAAGAGGAATTTAAATTTAAAGAAAAATTATTTTTTAAGTTTACATTTTTTTAATATAAATGCTAATTCTTTCCTCTTCCTACAATCCCGTATATGGGTCTAAAAAAATTTCCGAATAAAAAAAAATAAAATAAACAAAAAAACTAGCCCAAAAGATTTTTAGAAATAACCAAAAAGAAATTTGGAAATTAAATTTAAATAAATTATTGGGCTAATTAAAAATGTGTTTACTATTTATAGTGTAAGAGCGTTGAATAATAGCACACAAAGAGTAAAGGCAAAAAATATCTCTCAACTTGGTCATTTTTTCTTTTTTTCCTCAGAGGTAGATGAAGTAGAATTCGATGGCATAGTAAATGTACTATTCGAGCCCATCTTGAATAACAGAAAAAAATTTTTTCAAAAAATATTTTAATAAATACACTCCCCAATAAGGTTGGCGGATCCGGATATCCGGATCCGAAAAAAGGCCGGATATCCGGAAATTTTCGGTTCGGATACCGGATCCGGATATCCGAAATTTTCGGTTCGGATATCGGATCCGGATCCGGATATCCGAAATTTTCGGTTCGAATATCGGATCCGGATATCCGAAAATTTCGGTTCGGATCCTAGAATTAGGGAAAAAGGAAAAAATCTTGCCCAATGGCCTTCCAAATTTCTCTAAATTTTCGCCTGCGGCGCTGGAAAATAAACAAATCTGGTAGCCCAGGCTTCCAAAATTCCCAAACTTTTCGCCTGCAGCGCTGAAAATGGAAGAAATTTGGCTTCATTTGCTTCCAAAATTACAAAAAATTTTCGCCTGCGGCGCTAAAAAGTGAATTTTTTTGGCCTACGGCCTTCCAAAATTTCGAAAATTTTCGTCTGCGGCGCTGTTAGTGGAAGAAATCTGACTTAAGGGCCTCCAAAATTTTCAAAATTTTCGCCTGCGGCGCTTAAAAAGGAAGAAAAGGGATTTGTATGATAACGGAGGATTTACCTCAAAATCCTTCATTATTCTCTTAATCCCACGATCCCAGCTATCAATTTACCAAATTCAAAAATATGGAAATAGCCGATGTATCTACTACTTCCCCCAAATCCACTAAATTCTCACAAATCATCAGATAAACTACAAAATTTTCCACACATTGATTATACCTAGATAACTGTTAAGCATAAATTCCCTCGTTAACACTGTTAATCCCCAAATCCAATCATAATTGCTCCTAATCCCTTTATATCCTCCATAAGACTCAACTTTTCAGCGCCGCAGGCGAAAATTTTTAAAATAAAAATTTCGGTTCGGATACCGGATCCGGATATCCGAAATTTTCGGATCGGATACCGGATCCGGATATCCGAAATTTTCGGATCGGATACCGGATCCGGATATCCGAAGATTTCCAACTATCCGCCAACCTTACTCCCCAAAACCCAAGTTTTAACTACCAAGCAAGGGCGTATCCAGGGGGTCGGTTTAGTGGGGAGGGCCGCAGGGGGGGGAGGACCGTGGGGAGGGCCGCCTCCATAGTGGGGAGGGCCGCCTCCACCACATACGCCTTGCTACTCCGTGTATATAAAACAAAGAAAACCTACCGCCAAGTCAAGTGTTGCATTACCCATTGCAGTTGCAAATGCCGGTAATATAAAATTTCCGTGCACAACATTGACCTAAATTTTAAAATTATTTTATTAAATTTCAAAATTCAAACAAAAGTATCAATTGTTTTTTGCGCATCACGTAAATGTCCACTGTATCTTGAATATGTCCAAGTTACAAGGAGAGCAATAACAATTGTCAAAATTAGAGAGAAAACGGAAGCCACCATAAAAAGACCCAAAAGTTGGAAAAACTCTTGGACTATAAATGAAAAAAAATTGATTAAGAAATTTTAAGAAGGATAAATAATAATAAAATAAATTTTAATATAATAATAAATAAATCTTAATAACTTTTAACAACAAAAACTTGGATTTTTCTTGGTGTTTCAAAGTTGGGGTATGGTTTCAAACCACCCCTCCCCCAGTGGGCGTAGGTCCTAAACATGAAGAAATGTTTTACCATATCCCAATTTCGCAACACCAAAAAAATCAAATTGTTTGTTGATTGAACGCACAAAAATTCAATGGACGCATAAACTAAACCAGCGCCAAAATTTTACGGTCGATATGATACGTAAGGATGACGATATCTAATGTTTTAAACCTCGATAAAATCCCAATCAAAACATAAAAAGTAAATCCTTAATAGACGATGGAAACTTACAAATATAGCAGACGACCATAAATAAAACCAGAACAGCAGGTGTTTTAACAGATTTAAATAAATTCTTTGAATTATTGACGCGAATAAAAGCCTCATTTGCAGACTTAAAAATAATTATATCCATATTAATTCAAATTTATCAATTAAAAACCTTTATATCTTCCTCAAGTTTCTCTCGAAATTGAGAAGTTAATTCGGGGCCACCCATCTTCTTTGCACTGTTAAATGAAAGAAGAGCACTGGCACGGCAACGTTCATGATGCTGATTAAGTTCAGCACTGCTCATAAAAGGTGTATCACCTCCACAGACCTCAAAATAATTTTTAAAATATTATTTTAAGTCCAAAATTAAAAACAAACTTCTTCCATTTCTTTTGAATAAACAGCCTTTGCACTTGCCACAGCAGCCAAATTGTTTGCTTCTGCTGTTGCCTAAAAAAATAAATCTCAAAAATTAATTTTAAAAAAATTACAGCTAATATAGTTTTCGGTTCAGGCAATTCCGTTCCATTAAATACTTCAAAATAAGCCTAAAATAAATTGATTTAAAAAAATTTTTCACTATAAAACAAACATTTAAATAAACAGACAATTCACGACAAGTAATTTGTTGTCCATTAATAGCTTTAACAACTAAATTGTTACGATCGAAAAGATGAGGAACCAGTGCGTGCAATTGAGCTTTAAAGTCTGCGTTGATTGCTAAATTAAACAAAATTATAGAATTAATGTAGAGGCACTTGTCAATTATCAAAATTAAAGTAATCCAGAACAAGGGCGTAGCCAGGAAGGGGCTTCTGGGGCTATAGCCTCCGCCTGAAATGTAGAAAGTGGAAAAATTTTAGGAGGGAAATGATCAAAAAAGTGAATTTTTTGGCCTACAGCCTTCTTAAATCCCTAAAATTTTCGCCTGCAGCGCTGAAAAAATAAAAATATGTACAAAAAAATTTGCGTTTTGAACGCCAAAGTAAACGACAAAATTTTGGCGCACACCCATTTTAGCCCCCGCTGAAATCAACTCATGGCTACGCCCTTGATCCAGAATAGCCGACAAGTACATAAACATAACTTTTAGTAAAATGAGAGAAAAATTAAAAATGTAAAATAATCACATAAAAACTTGAAATGAAAAAATTTAAAAGAAAAACCAACTATTCAATTCGCCGCGGAAATCTGGACTAGTAGCTACATCAAGCCCAGGATGGGGCATCAAAAAGCATTTAATATTTTCAAAAGTTGACTTGATGTGTTGTCGAAGTTGTAGTAACTCTTTGTGTTGTTTTGCACCTGTTTCCAAGCGTTTGTCCAAAATTCTTTGCCCCCCATTAATTCCATATTCTGCTTCATAAGGAAAACACCAATCACGAACAAGAAACATAAGAGTCTGAAAATATTTTTAAATGTTAGTTTAATCAAAGATAACCTGGAAAGGTTTTGTTTCGTGATATTCATCCATAGCTAGACGAGCATATTCAGCAAAAAGTTGTAAATGTTGAAGATGATCTTCTTGGATAGTTTTGGTAACGTTATAAATCTGAAAATATGACAATAAAAATATGTATTCCTAGAAATTAAAACAAAAATGTTGACTGTATTAACAATCCCAAAAACACAAATTCCATATCAATTAATTTTTGAAAAACTCACAAGAATAGAAGAAATCATTGTAGAAAGTGCAAATATTGTGGCGCAACTTTTAACTGTGCTGACACAGTCAAAAATACCTTGCGTATCCATTAAAATCACAACGATCTATGGGAATAAAAATTAGAAAGCAAAAAATTTTTAAGTTAAAAATTTGCAGAAAAATCAAAATTCCCTAATCCTATCAAGTCGACAGACCCGAGTACTTGGGTCTGCTTACTTGATAGGACTTAGCCAGTTCAAGTACAAAAATATAAAAAATGAAAACCTCATTTCCATGCTTGTCCTGTAAAATAAAAGGTTCTGGCCAAATAAGAATTCCACTAGTCTCCCGGTCATCACCTCCACGCCAACTAAAACCTTTTAATTGACCATTATTGCCCTCATTGCTATTAATTAAATTTGTTTGTAGCCAATCAGTTTCTGATTCATCATCGCTGGCACAAGTCTTCCATCGTAGATAGCGTAGGAAAAAATTTAAAATAAAACTTTTTCCAGTTCGAAAAGCACCAGCAACACTGACAACACAAACCTAAAGAATTTTTGTTGGTGAAAAAATTGCTACTAAAGGAAACTTGTTTATCAGCAATTTTTGGATCTAACAATATTGATTCCAATTTATCTTTGTATATTTCAAAGCTTTGTTGAGTTTCGCCGTCCTCTTCTGCAACTGGTGAAATAATTGGAACTGGAGCTGTTACAGACATTTTAGAAAAATAGTCTAAGTGGCACAAAGAAATTAACTTAAAAAAACTCTAAAATGATAAAATCAATTGATAAAATCAATCGGACTATTTACACTCAACAAAATGTCCTATTTCGTTAAAAAAAATTTTTGCACTTTATCTAAAAAAGAGACTCAATTGGTTGAAAGTTTAAAAGTCCATTACAGTCTTGATCAACGAATTCGGCTCTTTTTTTATCATTTTTATGGGACACGCCCAAAATGGCGCGCGGCCATAACGGCGCAAAGCCATAACTTGCTTCAAGATTTCCGAATCTTATCAACTTTAGTATCAAACGATTCCTCTCATCGAGCTAAAGAGATTGGTACCAAAATTGAAAAGGGTCAGAAATTTTCCAGCTAGTTATGGCTTTGCGCCGTTATGGCTCGCGCCGTTTTGGGCTATACCCTTTTTATCATTTTTCTTTAATTTCTTTTGTTAAATGTTTGTGTTTGTTATGGCCTTTGATCTTTTACGCTTCTTTTTCGTTAAATATATATAATTCCAATTACCTATTAAACTCTATTTTACTTGACGTGTTTTATATTTGCCAGAAAATTTAGACAATTCCTTTTTTTAATTGATTTTATTATAATTTATCATCCCATTTTTCAGTTCATTCATTCATTTACTGACTGGTTTATTTGTAATAAATATATTAAAAATTAACAGCGATCATTACTTAAACAACAACAACCACGGACGGTTTTACATTTAATTCATTTTTTTCTTGTCTAAAAAGAGCTTCATTTTCTTCACTTAAATTATTTCGTTTTTCTGCCTACTCAAGTGCAAGTATTGATGAAATGAAAATTAAAAATGATGAAAAACTAAAAAGTACAAATGGGGGGAATGAAATTCAGAAAGATAATTTTAATCCTTTTAAGGTTTAGTCTTTTTTAATTTTTTTAAAATTTTATCTAAATTTTTAGCCAAAGAGAGCAGTTATTGTCTCTAAATCTTCCCTCCTTGAATACGAATTTGAAAAACTTGGAAAGCCTTTTAAATCATTTGATGATCAACAATTAATCACTCAGGTTATTTTTTTCTATTTATTTTCTAATAATATTTTTTAGTTGGGCAAAAAATATTCAAGTGCTGTGGATCTCAAGCAAAGGCATGATCAGCAGCAGCAATATATTGCTTCTATTTCTAAAGAACTTGAGTAAGTAGAATTTTTCCATTTAATGACCGCTTGTAAAATTTCCTCTTGTTAACTTACGGAGCGGACATTTCACGGAATGACCAAATCGCGGAATAATTTAAAATCGAAATTTTTTAAAAATTCTGAATATTTCTAAAAAAAAGGCTTTTTTAATTAGAATATCTTAAAAAATGGAATTTAAAAAAATCTCAAAAATTCTGATTTCTAAGAATATTTTGCTTTTTGAAATATTCCATGAGTTGGTAATTTCGTTCCGCGACCTGTCTGTTCCCTGTGTTGGAATTCCTCGAGTTAGCTCCCCACCCAAATTTTATTACAATTACTTATTTTAATTTCTATTCCCGCTTTAAAAACATATCTTTAATAGAGTTAATTCCTGAGTTATTCCAATTATAAAAATACAAAATTATACTTTAGGCGTCACAACATTGAATACCGAGTTGTCAAGCGTCGTCAATATTCCGATGAATTTGTTGATTGGGGTGATTTGATTATTTCTGCTGGAGGTGACGGTACTTTTTTGACTGCTGCTAAAAGGGTGATTAACTCAAACAAGCCTGTTATTGGCATTAACACTGATCCGATTGGGTAAATTTATTTAAATTTAACATTCAAATATACATTTTTATTAGATCAGAAGGTTTTCTCTGCCTAACTGGCAAATCTCGACATCCTGCCGATGAAGTAATTCGTCAGTTCCTGGCGGATGCTGCTTTGCCCGGTTTTCGTTGGCTTTGGCGGCAAAGAATTCGTGTAACTTTTCTAAATTTTGGTTTTGAGAACGGCGTTTCTCCTTCTCCCTCCTCTTCTTCTTCAATTCAACAACAAGAAAATCAAGTAAACGGTGTTGTTAAACCTAGTGAAAATGACGAACATATTCACACTGCTGAAGATATTGCCGAAGAGGAAAATGCAGATGAAACTAATTTGGAGAACTCGCGGAAGACCATTTTCAGGTATTTTTATTTTAAGCGTAGGATTGATTTGTTAATATCCGAATTTAAAAAATTTTAACAAGGAGGAATACATCTTTCTTGACCTCTTAACCTTCTCCAAGTTTTACTTTTGAATCTTACTCCTTTTAATGCCTTATTATTATTTTTAACATCCTTTTTAAATTTAAAAACATCTAAATAGTTCGGACGATGAAGATCAGGAAATAAATACAGCACGTGATTCAAATCTTATTACAAGTCGTTGGTTAGCTCTTAATGAAGTTTTCATTGGTGAAAGTCATGCAGCGCGGGTAAATATTTAAATTAACATAAAAATTTTTATATTTTAGGTTTCTTATTATGATGTACAAGTTGACAATGGGCCAATGACTAAACAAAAAAGTTCAGGAATGACAATTTGTACAGGCACAGGATCATCTTCTTGGTAAAAAAATTTATTAAAAAAATTATTTTATTATTTTTTGAATTTTAGGCATTTTAATATAAACAGAATGACCGAACAAACAATTGAAGAAGTATTGTCTGTAATAGATAAAATGGGATTGAAATTGGATCAAGTAGTTGACGCTGAAATGATAGAGAATATTTGTCGTAAATTTAATGAGAAATTGAGATTTGGGCCAGAATTAACAAGTTTTTAATTTTTAAAAGTTTTTTAAAATTATTTTTTTAGCAATGGCGTTTAGTGTTCGTGATCCTGTTTTTAATGCAACATTTCCAAAAATGGCTATTCGGGGATTTGCCAATAAAATTTTAATTAAAGTAAAAATTTTTTTTGAATTTTTAATTTAAATTTTAAAATTTTGTAGTCTCGTTGTAAAAATGCACATTTAATTCTCGACGGGTCTACATCAATGCCGTTTAATAGGGGAGCTGAAGTACTTTTAGAAATACATCCTGAAGATGCTTTGAGGACTGCTGTTTTTAGTAAGGAACATCGAAGTTAAAAAGGGAATATTTTTTTGTTTTATAAAAATTTGATCAATAGGTGTAGATTAAACTTTTGGGTTTTTTGGTATTGGGCTAATTTAAAAAAAATGTCTTGTCATATTTTAAAAATTTTCTCTTAATTTTATTTCTACACCTATTGATCTAAAACAAATAAATGAACGTTGATAAATTCAAAAATGAATATTTTTACGCGTTCATTTATTAGTTTCTGTAAAAAAATTTGTACACATTCTGGCCATAAACTTCTTTTAGCTTAATTTCTTTTTAGAATTCCCTTTCCAAAATAGTTTTTGTTTGTAATTTTAATTCTGGGTTTTCGGTAATATTTTTGTTTAATTTAATTTTTTAAATATTTGTTTAGATTAATTTTAAAAAATAAGCCAAATTATTTTGTTTAAAAAATTTTTCGTTTAAAAAATAAAATTATTTTACAGTTAACTATTAATTATTTAGAAAAATATTTAAGTAAAAAATCATTAGTTACTGGAACAATTATAGGAATAGGTACAGGTAATGGTAAAATACAAAGATTTTTCGCTCTCTTATTTGATATTTTTTCTTTATTTTTAACCATTTCATCCAACATTTGGTCAATTTGTTCGTCAGAATCGCTGAAAATAAATTAAATTTTTAAAAAATTCATAATAAAATTACCAATATTTTAGTAATTTTTGTTCTTTCCCACTAAAGTTTTGTTTATAATCATTTAAGCTTTGTTGTTGTTGACTAGTTGATTCTTTAGCTATTTCTTTTTGATTAAATATTTCCATTAATTGTGTTAATGCTGTAGATTCTTTTTTATTAAAATTTTGTTTTTCATTTAAAAATTGAGGAAATATTGGAGGAGATGAATTTAAAAGTCCTGTAGAATTTCCTTGTTGAAAAAATGAATTTTCAGGAAAAAATCCTGGAGGTGGAAATGGAGGGAAATGAAAGGAAGGTGGAAGTAGTGGTGGGGGTGGAAACATTTGAAAATTAAATTGTGGTGGGGGTGCTGTCCTCATTAATTCTTCAAAATTTAGAGAAGTTAACTCTTTAGAATTTATTGGAAGTCGAAAGGGAAATGGGGGGAGAGATGAAGGAAGAGAAACAAATTGAGGCGGAATATTTGTTGGGGGAGAAATATTACTTTGATTATTATTGTAATTTGCTGATTTTAATATATTTTTTGGAGTTGTATTTAATGCAATGTTGTCTGACAGAGTAGACGAAGTTGTTAAAAAATTAATATCCAAAGGATTTGTAGCAATTTTTGGAGTAGAGACTGGGAGTTCAAAACGCTTTTTTACCTCATTTCGAGAATTAGAAGGAATTTCCTTTTTTGTACAGACGTTTTGAGGACCTTAAAGAAGTAATAAAAGTTGATAATAAATTTAGGTAATTTACCAGATTTGTTTGGTATACGTGCTTTTCCTGCTTTAGCTTCCTCCCAGTACCTTTTATTTAATAAATGAGGAGGATGAGGACAAATCTCTGCACTCCGTTTTCTGTTAGTTGTTGTTGTTTTTGTTGGCATTTTTTAGAAAAGATCAAAAGAAATATAAAACAAACTTAAATTTTTGTTAATAATTATTAAAGTTTATTTCAAAATTTTAAATAATTTTTCCCTTGTATTTTGTTTAGTAACTGGAAAAAATTCTTAGTCAAAATAGAAAAGGCTGAAATAACAAAAATAAGTCCCATATCTTGAGTAAGATGGATACCAACCACTCCCCCTTTACAATTACCACCACCAAAGGAAAACGATATGTAATTTCAAACTATTGCTGATGGCGCAAATGCGAACGAAATGTTGAAGATGAAAGTAGTGACTGTGGTTGGGGAGATCCTAGGATGGGAATTGGACTCTCGGTGCATAAAAATGGGGATTGCTAGTAGCCGAGATGTGAGTAATATAAGGGTGATGCGGGGGATTTCTTTCTCTCCGTGTGTGATGCATTGGATCGAATTACTCAGCATCTCACTCAGTTTGCCACAATTTTTCTTAGGGAATTTGAGAAACTGCTATGGGATAAAATTTCAGCGCAAAAACAAAATTCTTTTCCTTGTTGAAAATCAGCACTGATCAAATGAAATTTTGTTTTTTTTTTGTTTTCGAATGAAAAAGTTATACTAAGCTACTCAGTAATTTTTTCAAAATATAAAGAGCAACAGTTGTATTTATGAAAATAAAAATACCGAAAAAGTCTTGTTATTGAGTGGGTTTTTGTAAATTACGAAGATTTACAAATCTATGATTGCAATACTTTGGGTTAGACCTCTTTTTTTCTGATTCCCATTGCGGCATCTGATCTGTTTTTCTAGCAAATTATTTATTATTCGACTTAGCGACGACAATTTCTAGTGAAGATTCAGCTTAATAATTTTGCTCAGAATCGCCAAATCTAACCAACAACGGTATCATTCGACCTATCTCGAAGAGCTCATTCAAATGATGTGATAAATTATACATCAAACAAAAAAGCTCAAAATGGTCGAGGAATCAGGAAAAAAGGGGAAGTCTAAACCAAAGTAACACCATTATCACAATTATGTAGGTAACAGAAACGGGGAAATTTTTTAAAAAAATATTTGACTAAACTGTAAGCCAAGCAGCTGTAAACAACTTCTTGCTTCGGGCGTACCAGGCACCAAACTTAATAAAAATCTCTTACGCGTTACTAATTAAAATCTTTCCAAATTTTGACAGTTTAAAAATAAAAAGAAAAAATTTTGCACTCCCCCCTCCCTATTCAAAGTAGGCAGAAAGAAAAGGTGAAAAAATTGAAATTCTATCCATACAAAATAAATTACCTCTCTCCCTCTTTCCTTCCAATTGAGTACATATACCCGTTCTTTAAGCCGTCCCAACCATCAAACTAAAAAATTATCTCAAATTTCTTTCTCCTTTACATTATTTTCTAATGATATCTGACTCCATTTTTGAGAAGGAAAAATAAAATAAATAAAAATAACTGTTGGAAAAGAAAATTTAAAAAAAATTTTTTAAAAGAATTTATTTTAAAAATTAAATGTTTAATGCCCTAATTAGCATATAATTAATTCTCTATATATTTTGGAATAAAAAATATTATTTTTAAAAAGGAATATTTATTAATATCTTTTCATTTCATCACAACCGTTTCTCTAAAAAGTCTATATTTAATCTAAACCAAACATAAGGGTAATAATCATGAACCCCCAATGAAACAAGAGTTGGAGCATCATCAAATGTCTATAAAAATATTTTTTTTGGTTTATGATCAGATCTTACAAATATTAAATAGTATAAATTTCCGTGTCGGGCTAATTCGAGGAATTCCAACTCACGGAACAAGTCTCGGAATTACAGATTACGGAAAAGATATATCCATGTTTTGTCATTCTGTGACTTGTCGTTCCGCGACCTGTCTGTTCCGTGAGTTGGAATTCCTCGAGTTAGCCCCCTTCCCTAAATTTCAACTAATCAAGGGCAGTCAATCGAAGATTTGGATAAAAACGTAAAAGGGAATTCACAGAAAAATTAATTTTTTTAATCAAAAAGAAGTCAAAAACGAAATTTATTTTAATTTACCTCTATAGGTCCACTAGCAGATCCATCCAAATGAAGATAAAGTTTATTAAGTTCACTTCTCAATCGTTTTTGTGAATTCTTTAACGGCTCCATTAAAACTGCTTGGAAATTAACTGGAAGTCCGTACCTTTAAATAAAAATATATTTACAAAATTAACCTCAAAAAACCTCAAAACAGATTCAACAAAAACTCTCAAAGCCTTTACATGCATATAAGCAGAAAAAATCTCTCCAAAATTAATTTTTAGCCATCGAACCAAAGGAGCATATAGACGTTGTTTTTCTTGGACAAGTTTGTCTCTTTCACTTCTACCAGCTTTTAATGATTGCTCGTCATAGACAAAATCACGAACAATAAATCTATTTAGATAATTAATAAAAAATAAAATTTTCTCCTTACTTCTGTTCTCTACAATTTGCTCTATATTCATCTATCACCTTCTGTAAATTAAAAAAAAGTTTAAAAAATAATTTTAAAAGAACCTTAAATAAAGTAACAGTATAGAGAGCATGTTCCTGATCCTCAACAATTTTTTGAGCAGACCCAGGGACAACCATATTTGCAAAAGTAAAATAACTACTTTCCCATTCTTTTATTTGAAGTCTAAAAAATATTTTTAAAAATTAAAAAATCGTTTAAAATCAAACTTTGGAACAGCAACACAAACAGTCTGTAAATACTCAGAGCCTAGAACAAAATTATCAGCTTTGACAATATCCGAAAGATCTTTAGTTACTAAAGAACCTCTAAAAAAATTTTTTTAATGTAAACTTTAATAAAAATAATATTTTTACGCTGCTTTTCGATCAATAGAAGCAAGTGTATTTTTTAAATTATTATAAGCTGTAGCCTTCGTTTTGAGGTCATTATCTATTTGTGTTACTTGTTTGCCGATAATTTCGGAAAGAACTTTAAGTGACTGTTTAACAGGGTACTTGGCAGCTTCCCATTGAAATTTTGTTACGTAAGTGTGAACATCCTCTGTTAATTAGAAAAGTAATTTTGAAAATAAAAAAAATTTTTTTTTTAATTTAGAATAATTCCAAAGGATAAATTTTTAAAATAAAAAATTTAAAATGTGCCAATTCATTCGGAGAATCCAATCCTTTGAAAATTTGTCAATGGATTCACGGAGGAAATGACTAATCTAATTTTGCACATTTCACGAACCGACAACTAACCAAAAGAATTGTCGGGATCAACTATGTGCAAAGGAAACATAAACCACTTAACCAAAAGAGAATGTAAGGGGAAAAGATAAAATATTCCTTAACGACTTAACAAATGATTTAAAATCTGGTAATAGTATCCTAAACCATTAACACTGAAATAATTTTCTTAGTTAAAATAATTCGAATCTGGATTTAAAAAATTCATATTAAAATGAAAATTTATTTAAAAGGAAAAAATAAAACAAACTATTTCCAATAACCAAGTTCTCTTGCAATTTATTTCTTTCTTCTTCTAACACTTCAGAGAAATATTGAACTAGTTTTCTAGTTGTCCTAAATAATTTTAAAAATTAAATAATTTAAAATAAGTATATACTGTTCTGCAGCAGTATCCAATTTTGCCAAATCATCTGAAAGACCAACCAATTGATCCAAAGTGCCAACCTTTAAATAAAATATAATAAATTTTAGGCGTGAAATATTCACATGATTTTTAGTCTATTAATGATTTAAGAGATTTCAGAAAATATTCAAAATAATTTTCCCAACAATCTAATACTACTATAATTTAACAAAATTTAAAATCAATTCAAAAAAATTAAAATAAACCTTCAAATCAGGAATATTAAATTTGCTGTTGACAGATAAATTTTGCGTTGTTTGCTGTAAACGATCCCAAGTTTCTAAAGGTGTAGTTTCACCTGGAGCAGATATTAACCAAAGCTCGTTGTTCGATGAAGTGCTCATTTGTACAATATTTTCTTTATTAAAACAAAATATATTAAAAAATAATTATTCTAATTATCGAAACAAATTAAAAATCAGAAAAAATTCTAAAAAAGGCAAGCAGAACTATTTACATTGACCCAACTTAATTTCTGATCTTTTGTTTAACGTTAACAAAAAATTTTTTACAGACAATCGTTTCGTTAAAAATTATTCTTCAAATATTCGGCTGAGGAACCATTAAGTCCCGCCGGTTGAGTCCCCAAGTCATATTTCGATAAACTTCTTGGGTTTCAATTATTCATTTTAAGTATTTAAAATTTGAAAAAAACAAATTTTCTAATAGTAACTTATTTCTAATAAAATATATTTTATTTACAAATAAATATATCAAAAATGTTGTATTGAAAAAATTAATAGTCACATACATAAACGACAATTAAAGCCTAAAATTTAGGATGCAAATAAATTTCTTAACCTTGGAAAATATTGTCGAATAAGTTCTCTTCCTTTTGTTGAAAATAATATAAAATAAGTAATGTTCAAAATACACGTGATTGATGCCACAAATAAATACCTTAAAAAGAAATAAAAATTATTTAAAAATTTAAAGGAAACCAGTCAAAGCCAAGTTCAGCTTGCAAATACTTAAAACGTGAGAGAAATTCTTGTCTACACGGTTCATTTTCTGTACATCCACTTTCATCAAATTCTTCATAATTTTTAAAAATCACTTTTGGCTTCAAATCTGTCTGTAAACGAATGACATTAATTAGAGTGTGTAATTTTGAGTAGTCCTCGTATAACCGAAGTCTGGGCAGGCCATCTTGCCAAATTGCAAGCACAGGTGTTGAGGCAATTCCGTATTGAGCGATTAAACTATTTTTTAAATTAAAGAACTATAAGTCGAAAGAAACTTTTAATGGATTAAATCGAAAATTTAGGATTTCTGATGTTATAATTTTTTTAAAATAATTTTTGGAGCAATCTCCAGGATTTTAAGCAAATTTATTTAAAATTACCTTTCCATTTCCTTGCCTCCTTTTGAAACATCCACTGCTACAACACGAAGTTTTGGATAGAAACGAGCAATTTGATAAAATGAATCAGCCACTTTTGAAGAGAAAATACAATCAGGTGAAAAGAAAAATGAAAGAAGGCACCAAGGTCTTCCTCTGAAAATTGTTTTAAAATAAATTCAAAAAAATTATAAACTAACGCCTTGTCTCGCAATTTTGTCAAATAGAGCATCTCCTGTGCTGTAAATAATTGCATTCTTGGACGTAAAACATCATCGGCTAAATTATTAAAATTTATTTCAAATTTCTTTTTACATTTGAAAGGTTAAAATGTCTCTCCCAAAATTATATCGGGTAAAAAACGTCCTAGAAAAATATATTTAAAACTATAATTTCTGGAGTGAACGATACACCAGCCATTAACCTTCAATATTTTTAAAAACCTGTTGCACAATTCAATTTCCAAGATATATTTAAATCACAAGGAAGAGAAACCATACATCGAGTATCGTTCATTGGAGGGCATTGTCTAGCTACCCAAAATTTGAATGAAGAAAATGCTGGGCATCCAAAAGTACCTACATTAGTAATGTTTAATTGAATATCTTCATTTTTGTTTGTATTATTAATTGACAAATCAGAAGAATTTTGAATTGAGATAACAAATTGAAGTAATGAAAATAAATAGAATAAATAAATCATTAAACTGTTCTTAAATTAAAATATAATTGGAAAAAAATACATTTAATTTTTTAATCCTTATAATTCATTTTAAGTATTAAAATATATTTTGTAATACAAGCAATACGCAAAATTTTAAAAATAAAATTTTTTTAAAGATTTATTTAAAAAAAGACTAGTGTTTCTAATACATATAATTTGAGATTCAAATAAAAACAGAAACTAAAGTAATTTAAAATAGGACTAGAAGTTAAATTAAAAAATGAGATAGCACTAAATTCAAATAAAGAAATATACAATAAAGAAATTTGTGGTGGGGGAAACCGAAAATATATTGCCCAAATAAAAACATATTCTAAAACTAAAAACTCCAAAATAGAAAATCTAATGATAAATTTTAAATTTGAATAATTTCAAAAAATAAACAGAAATAAACTAAACAGAGACTAGATTAAATAGGCCATTTTCTAAATACATACTTTCTAGCTGATTAAATTTTAAAATAAAACTTCACATAAGAGAACAATTTGACGAAATAGATTCTTTTGGTATATAACAAAGGCGTTGATCCCCAAATACAAAAAATCGGCCACATTTTGAACCCAACTTAAAACGTACTTTTGCTACCATAATTCGTTCAATACAATGTCTTTGCTTAAAATTTTTTAAAAATTGATTTTTAAATATGATAAATATACCTTTAATACACGACATGAATCCAAAAGCCTTTTCAAATGTGCAGCACAAAAGTGTTTACTGACTTCGTTGATTTCTTTTATTTTGTGCTTTCTAACTGGATGAACCTGAAAAAATGTTGGAAAAATTTTTCTTAAGCATACTCACATAAGGCCGAGTTTCTGTAAAAATTAGTTGTCCATTAGCTTGACGTAATAAATGATCAGGCATTTCACATGGAGTGTAGTAATCAGAACACTCTACAGCAAATGCAACTTTTAATTTGGTGAAAATCCGTACTTGGCCATTTCCTCCACATGCCAAACAACATTTCTTTCCTTGACCTTTACAATGTTGACAGTCACGAATTCCACGACCTTTCAAAGTTAAATAAATGAGTGGTAAAATAGCATTTGCTAAAATTAGTATGCCCGAATTTTTTTTTGAAAAAACGAGACTGGACCCCGCGTGATGAATCCACATAAACTAACAATAAATACATATATTAAAAATCCAAAAATATTTTTGAGACTCAAGAATGACAAAGGGATAAGATAATAAATTTTAGAGCTATTTTTCCAATAAAAATTAACCATGGCAAAAAATGCACAAATCATGTTGTCCAATTCCTGGAGGAGGAAGTCCAGCCTTTGCCATAAAATGTACAGGCGTTCCAGCCGCATATGGTTTATCACGTTGAGAACCTAAAAGTGCAGGTTTGATCATTGCAGTTCCGGAAAAAGGAAATCCTCTGTTTGACGAGGAGATACCTCCACCAACGCTTTTTCTGTTATCCTGAAATATAGAATATCACAGGAAATTATGATAAAAAACATTTATTTCTAGTCGTAAAAGATAAATATTTTACTAAAAATTTAAACACCAACCCCAGAAAAGGTCCCAATCATTGGGTGAGTATAAAGTGCTGGATGTGCGACACCTGCTTTCATGCCAGTTCCTCTACAATAGGTGCATTTGTCTGTGCCAAGGCCACGACAATGAAAACAATGAATAAGTGCTTCTCCTTTACAAGTATGGCAGGTAGAAAGGCGCTGAGAATTGGGCATTTCCAATATTTTAATCTATAAAGATAAAAAAATAATTGTGGTTATATGTTAACCAGAATTTTAACGATTATTAAATGTTTAAACTTCAAAACCTGATTAACAAAATCATCATCAGGTTTCACATCAAAATCCCAAGGATTGTGACCAAAATCGGCAGAAAACAAAGTTTTAGTTATGGTCGGATTATTAATTTTTGAATTAAGAGAATTTGTTGAAATATCCACAGTCGAGCCACTCTCTTCAAAGCTGCGAATACGAACAAGAGCAGATGAATTGGACATTGTAGAAGAACTTGGTTGAACAGCATCTGCTGTACTCCTTGTTTCAGTAAAGCTTTCCAATACATACTAAAATTTTATTTTTAAATAAGTGATATAGATAGTGTCGGGCTAACTCACGGAACGGACAAGTCACGGAATGACCAAAACACGGAATAATTTAAAAATCGGAATTTTTTAAAAAAATCTGAATATTTTTAAAAATTTTTTAACAAAGTAGAGTACATGAGTATTTTAAAAAAACAAAATTTAAAAAAATTCTGAAAAATTACGATTTATAATATTCTGATTTCTAAAATACACCGAGTTTTGGTCGTTCCGTGAGTTGTCGTTCCGCGACATGTCTGTTCTTTGAGTTGGAATTCCTCGAGTTAGACCCCACCCGATATAAAAATAAAAAGATTACATGGCAATCCCGGAGAATAGGGGTTTCTTCGAATAAAAAGTTTAAAAATAAGAAAAAGGATTTTTCTAGGGTAAAAAAATATGCTGATTACGAATTCGAGCTCGGATTTTGAAAAAGTCGAATCCTGAACCCGAATTCGGACATTCGACATTTTGAGGAAAATTTCACAGAGCGCAAATTGGTCAAATAATAGCTCTTTCGAAAGAGCTCGACGAGCTGAGTCGAATGACACCAAAATCACCGTGATTGAATAAGAACAGACAAAGTTACAACACAAAAATATAGGTTTACGTTGTTTGTTTTTTGTGTCATAACTTCGACAGATCTTTTTCAATCACGGTAATTTTGGTGTCATTCGACTCAGCTCGTCGAGCTCTTTCGAATGAGCTATTATTTGAATATTCGAATTTTTCACCCCAGAATCAGCTTGGTCCCCCCTATGGTTTTTCGATTTTGTAGGACCTATATTCGGGTCTGGGTACGACTTTTTCAAAATCCGAGTTCATATTCGTAATCAGCACATTTTTTTATCCTAGAAAAATCCTTTTCCTTATTTTTAAACTTTTTTTTCGAAGAAACCCCTATTCTCCGGGATTGCCGATTACATGATAACAACAATTATGAACAATTTCCTCAAAAACCATTTTTTCAATAGCTTTTGAATTCCAACATTTTCTCCTTTTAGCTTCAACTAACAACGATTTTCTTATCTCATCTTCATTTATTTGATTAAAATTCTCTCCTTCTTCTAAACGGATAGGACATTCGGATAAATCTGAAAAAGGGTTTAAAATTAATTTTCAGATTATTTATTTACCAAGGTTTTCTTGTTGCTGTCTGGTATTTCCCGGAAATGGTACAGGAGAAAATGCAGTTGACGTGGAATTAGACAAAGTTTTGCCTATTTGTGGATGCTCAACATCCATGTTTAACAAAAGCAGTCCGGAATTATTTTAATTCAAACATGTTGAAAATTTGAATAGTAAACAAATAAAAGTCCAAAAAGTTTTTGTAGAAATGCTTGAAATCTAAAATTAATAAATTAAAACTTAAAAATCGAATAACTTTTTTTAAAGAAGCAAGTTTAAAAAAACATATAAAAACAAATGTATGCCATTTATGACAAAGAAATTTTTGTCACTCATTTGCACGAGTATTGCATAATAACTACATCTGGTTTTGTCACAAATGCTTTTCTCGCTTTAATGTTAGTTTATTTTTTTGAAGGGATTTTAAAAGAAAGTAAATAAAAAGAAAGAAAGTGCCGTTTCCTCCATAGGGATTTAACAATTTATAACAAAAAAACTTCCAAAGGAAAAACAAGTGAAGATTTCAATATTTTTTAAGCAAAAAATTAAAGAATCATTTAACAAGGAAAACTTGTTGCACATTGAGAAATTTGTTTTTTTATGTTTTATCGCCGCAGGCGAAAATTCTCTCATGTGGACAATAGAGTCCCGCCAATATCGCAAATAAAAAAATTGAGTTTTTTATTGTTCTGATTAGTTATCGGCATAGTAGGGATCAGGGGTGGGCGCATTGCGTTTTGCGTTTTTTGCGTTTTGCGTTGATTTTTGGTTGCGTTTTGCGTAAATTTGGCCAAAATTAACGCAAAAAACCGCAAGAAATATACCCAATCTGAGGGCAAAATCTGGAGGAAATCAGGCTTATGACTTTCCAAAATTCTCAAAATTTTCGCCTGCGGCGCTTAAAAAAGGAAGAAATTTGGCTTCTTGGTCCCAAATTTTTCACAATTTTCGCCTGCGGCGCTAAAAGTAGATCATGGAACTGCTCAGAAAAATATCAGTTCAATATCTTGAGCTCCAATCTCTCTTTATCCCTCCAAATCCCCTGATATCCGCGGTATCAATTGAGAATTACAGATAGGCATTTATCCTCCACTATCTCCCCAACCCATCCGACATTCATCAGTAATCGCATGGTATCTTTTTAAATTTCCTTGATCCCTCCAATTTTCCTCGATCCCTCCTTCATAATCACTCTAAATCAGGGCTCTCATTCGTACTTTATTTGAAAGTACAGTACTTTAAAATCGACCTCCGTACTTACAAAATTGAATTTGTACTTTATTGAAAGTATGTACTTTAAAATCAACATTTTGGATTGAAAATGAAATTAGGGAAGGATTGGGCAAAAAAGTGGATTTTTTTGGCCTACGGCCTTAGAAATTCTCAAAATTTTCGCCTGCGGCGCTGAAAAAGGAAGAAATCTGGCTTAAGGAACTCCAAAATTCTCAAAATTTTCGCCTTCGGCGCTGAAAAAGGAAGAAATTTGGCTTCTTGGGTGCCAAATTTAAAAAATTTTCGTCTGCGGCGCTAAAAATGGAAAAAATCTGTCTTAAGAACCCCGAAATTTCCCAAAATTTTCGCCTGCGGCGTTGAAAATGGACGTAAGAAAGTAGCTTGCTTGAGGTTAAGACTGTCAGGGCTTTACTTCTTGTGACAGCGAATTTTGACATGGCGTGTATGAAATGCACAAAATGCTCAGTGGAAACAAGAGATTATTAGAAAAATTCATTTAGCAGAGAAATAGTATAAAAGATTTGAGGGCGAATAAATATTTTGTAATTTAATTTTGAGTGTCCTTTAAATTTGGAAATTTTGTCCCTATGTACTTTAAAATCGAGATTTTTGTACTCTTGATTGGTATTTTGTCGATGAGAGCCCTGCTCTAAATCCTCTAATATCCTTCATAATCCCATTGTATCCCCTTCAAATCATTACCCATCCAACTTAATTGTATCACAAGATTAACTAGGACTCGCTGACTTATAGTAATACTTCTATTTTAACTGAAAAATGGCTAATACTCGATTTAAATTTTTTTTTTCAGAATTTTGCGTTCTTGCGTTTTGCGTTTTTTGCGTTTTGCGTTGATTTTTGGCCTTGCGTTGCGTTTTGCGTTTTTCACGATTGCCTCTTGCGCCCACCCCTGGTAGGGATCCCGCGGGATCCCGTCTTGAACTCACGGGTTTTATGCGACGAGCGGGATTACCGGGATTAATCCCGCGGGATCCCTCCCGTTCGATCTTTTGAAACTCAATCCCGTTACGGGATCCCGGAAATGTGATTTTGCCGATCTCTGTTCTAATACTTTTTCATTTTTAGAGTTAAGAATTCTTTGAATTTTCGAGATGGATATTGATGCTGAAACTTCAGGATCTGAAACAGAGGAAGCTTTTAATCATCTAAATGCAGATCAAAATAGGAAAAGTAAACGGGCAGGCGGATGGCAAGCTATGGGTAATTAATCTTTCTACATTTTCTCAATTTTTTTTCAATTTAAAGGTCTCGATCATTCAGTCTATAAAGGAATAATTAAGAAGGGTTATCGCCAACCGACACCGATTCAACGTAAATCAATTCCTCAAATCTGTAGTGGGGCAGACGTGGTTGCAATGTCCAGGACTGGATCAGGGAAAACTGCTGCTTTTGTTATTCCAATGCTCCAAAAATTGAAGAAAAGGGATACTCGCGGGATCAGAGCTATCATTTTTGCTCCAACAAGGGAATTAGCTCTTCAGAGCTTTAAATTTGTTAAAGAAGTTTTTTGATATTTAAGACCTTTTTTGATATTTATTTTTTAGCTCGGTCGGTACACAGGGCTTTTATGTGCATGTTTGATTGGTGGCGATGATATGGATGAACAATTTTCTGTTTTACACAAACATCCAGATATGTAAGTCTATTTTCTGTTTAATTTTTCTGTGTCAAATTTGACCTGTTTTTTTAAAGTTTAATTGCTACACCGGGTCGTCTTTTACACATTGTTATGGAAATGGGGCTTAAATTGACTGCTGTTCAATATGTTGTGTTTGATGAAGCAGATCGTCTATTTGAAATTGGTTTGGGGGATCAACTTAAGGTTATAAAATTTTAAAAATATTTTAATAAATAAAATTTTAAGGAAATAATTAAACGACTCCCTGAAAGTCGACAAACTCTTTTGTTTTCTGCAACTTTACCTAAAATTTTAGTGGATTTTGCAAAGGCTGGGCTTTCAGATCCTGTTTTAGGTTTGCTTTTTTTGTTCATTGCCTTACTAAAATTATTTCATTTTTTATGCGTGGCCTTCTCAATTTATTTTATCTTAATTTCAAAAATTTTTTCTAGTTCGTTTGGATGTTGAGTCAAAGTTGAGTGAGAATTTAAAAACAGTCTTCGCTTGTTGTCGTGCTAATGAAAAATTACCAGCATTGATTCATCTATGTCGAGCATTAAATAGAGAACATCAAAAGACAATTATTTTCTGTGCTACAATGAAACATGTAGAATTACTGGTTGCTTTTCTACAAGAAGCAGGGATGGATCCAGCATTCCTATATAGTCAATTGGATCCTGTTGCTCGAAAGCAGAATATTTACAGGTTTACTTATTTTGTTTTTATTTTTATCTTTTAAGTTTAGATTTCGAAATACACCCGAATGTTCTCTTCTTGTTGTCACCGATATTGCAGCAAGGGGTGTAGATATTCCGTTGTTGGATTATGCGGTTAATTGGCACTTCCCTTCTCGTCCCAAATTATTTGTCCATCGTGTTGGTTAGTTTTGAAATCTTTAATCTAGAATGAGTGAGGAGAGATTCGAAAATTTATCTTAATTTTGGAGCATGATAAATTAAAATTTTAATTTCTTTAGGTCGTGTTGCAAGAGCAGGCATGTCTGGAACATCGATCTCTTTTATAGCACCGGATGAGATGGCATATGCTCTCGATGTTTTTCTATTTACTGGAAAACCTTTAGCTTTTGTTGATAAAGCTGATTTGGAGAAGAATATACATGAAGGTATTAATAACCGAAATTAAAATATTTTTATATAATTTCAGAAAACCATTCTGGATTGATTGGAACGCTTCCGGACACTTTCTCGCATTTGGAAACTGAATTTATCTCAAACCTACAGCAAAATTCAATTGAAATTGTAACTTTAATTATTTAGAATATTCCAAGTAATATTTTATTTAGCGTGATATTCAAGCAAAAGCTGACAATGCAATGAAGAAATACACTAAAACAAGACCCCAAGCATCAGCTGAATCTATTCGACGAGTAAAAACTGAACTTTATCAAATAACACCCTGTGTACATCCATTTTTCTTATCGAAGGATTTATTTCCTGAACTTGTAGCTGAAGAATGCAGTGATACTGGTTTAAAGGATGGATTGCAACGAAAACAGGAAATTCTCCAACAAATTCGAAATTGGCGGCCAAATCAAGTATTTTTAAATTTAAAATTTTTCGTCTAACAATATGATTTCAGGCCATTTTTTCCATGCAAAATACTTTGGGTGGTAAAGGAAGATTATCTGAAAATAAGCAAAACCTTCCTATAAAGAAGGAAACGAAGAATGACCAGAAATGCAGTATCGAAAGATGTAAAGCTGAGGAGAAAGCAACTAATTATGTTGATTATTTACCGACAGATGCAAATACTGAATCGGGGCTTTCTGTGCAAAATGACAATAATCTAGGTAAAATTCGTTAATTCTTTTTAGTCAACTTAATTTTAAAATTTAGGAGGGTTTGAATCGATGGCAAAACGAGTAAGTTTGGAACTAGGCGCTGATGACGAAAAAGGTCTTTATATGGCTACAAAAGGTGCGAAGAATGTTTGGGATCGAAAGAGAAAAAAATTTGTAAGTGCCGAAAGTGGACAACCAAAAATAAAGAAGATTCGCACTGAAGACGGCGGTTGGATGCCTGTTAGTTATAAAAGTGGACGTTATGAAAGATGGAAACAACGACAAAATATTAGTTTCCAAGATGAAGAAGAGGATGGAATTGATGGTAGAGGAGAAAGAAATGGACGGAGAAAGTCTTTTGGAAAGAATAAAAATAAAGGTTATTTTTAAATCGAAAATTCTAAATTTTACTTTGGTAATTTGAGGTAATGCAAATAACAGCACGAAGACTTCAAAATCCAAATCAAAGATGGAAATTCGGAACAGTGATCAAATAATTAAAAATAGACGAAAAAAGGCCCGGGTTCAGTCGTATCAAAATTATAGGAAACAAGAGAATTTGAAGAAAAAGGATCGGAGAGGTAGAGCCGGAGGGAAAGGAGGAAGATTTGGAAATAGCAAGAAAAAATCAAAGACTTGAGTTTGTTAATTTTGTTTTTATTTAAATTTTTGTTTTGAAAATTATCTAAATTTTATGTAGTTTTGTTGAAATTTTTAAAGTAAATAACAGGAAAAATATTCGAAACATTTAAAGAAATTCCGAGTCAAAATAGTTTTTTAAAAAAGGTATATATAATAGATATGTTTATTAATGGTGGAAACATTTTAATAAATTAAAGTGAAATATTTTCGTGATCCTTTTTAATCTCATCAAGGTCCTCTTTCAAAAGAGAAATTGCATGAGGCAAAATCTCTTCCAATATAACAAAACCTTCTTGTACAGCTTTAGGACTACCAGGAAGATTAATAATTAGACAATTGCCAGCAATTCCAGCTGCAAGTCTAGTTAATGCAGCAAATGGTGTAGAACGCAATCCTCCAACTAATAATGAAGTAACAATTCCAGGACATTCTCTTTCAATAACTTCTTTTGTTGCTTCTGGGGTTACATCCCTTTTAGCAAATCCTGTTCCTCCTGTTGTTAATATACAATCAACTTTTGTTGAATTATTGCGCAAATAACCAGCTATTTCTTTTTTGTCATCCGGCACAATTTTGTAGTCAATTAATTGAGCTTTTTCGATGAACTTAAATGAATTTGAGAATAATTCAATTAATAAAGGACCACTTTTATCGAGAGAAGGATTTTGGGATGAGGAATCACTAACTGTTAAAACACTAAATCTCATATCTGAAAATTTAAATTCGAATAAATTTTGGAATAATTGAATTCTGTGAAAATTTTTTGAGGGACACGTCCCATAACGGCGCATAGCCATAACTAGCCGTAAAATTTTTTGGCCCTTATCAATTTTGTAAAATCTGTTTAGCTCGATGAGAGGAATCGTTTAATACTAAATTTGGTAAAATTCGGAAATCTTGAAGCAAGTTATACCTTTGCGCCGTTATGGTTCCGCGCCTACGTGGGCTGTACCATTTTTAAATTCATTTTGTTGAGAGACTCAAAAGGACTTTTTTAATTTTTTTGGCATAACGTTTGATTTTTTTTAAAAATTAGGCGGCTTAATTTTTAAGAAATTTTTTTCTTAATTTTATTTAAGTTTTTTCGTTTTATTTTTTAATTTTTAGTAAGTTAACAAAAATCTATCATGTTTGAAGCTAAATTCTCCAACGCTGGTCTTTTCAAAAAAATTATTGAAGCCATAAAAGATCTTGTGAGTGATGCGCCATTTGATTGTTCCGAGTCATCTTTGTGCTTACAGGTTTCTTTAATTTAAAAATTTTTATCGAATTGTTTTTCAGGCAATGGATGGATCTCATGTTGCTTTGGTTTCTCTAAAACTTGAAATTGGAATTTTTGATGTTTATCGTTGCGATCGAACGATTAGCCTTGGACTTAATTCTGGAGAGCTTAACAAAGTTTAATTTTTTCTCAGAAATAATTTTAATTTTCTAAATTTAGGTTCTAAAATGTGCAAAGGCCGATGATACTTTAATGATTCAATTTCAAGATGGCGAGAAAGACACTGTTACTTTTACTCTCGAGGATAACAAAGGACGGAAGCAAGACATTACTCTTAAATTGTTGGACCTTGATAATGAGCATCTGGGCATACCTGATCAGAAATACTCTGCTGTAATTGAAATGCCGGTATAAATTTATTTTGTAAAATTCGGTGGAGTGGCGATATACAAGGACCATTATGGGTTGTGGCTAAATTTCCTTTCTCAAATTTTTGAAGGACTGATTTAACAAATTATATAATCTAATGAGAACGGTACAAGTCTTTTTGTTTGAACACTATCGAACAAATAAATATTTCGAAAATACTAGGATGATTTATAATTTTTTCATTAAAAATTTGAAAAACCCTATAGGGATTATTAATTCTGTAGTCTATTTGTTTCTTTAATTTGGCATTCAATTTTTATTTTTTAGTCAGCAGAATTTAAGAAAGTTTGTTCTGATATTGCAACTTTTTCTGACACAATGACGATCATTGCTACTAAATCGAATATTGTCTTTAAAGGATCAGGCGATGCTGTGACTAACACAATTAGTTATTCTAAGGATCGAACTGCCGATGAGGAGGAGGACGATGACGATGTATGATTTTTTTATAGTCGCATTATTTTTTAAATAATCTTTTAATTTTATAATTTAAGCGTGTTGATTTCAATGTGAAAGAGAAAGTGACTCTGAACTTCTCCATTAAATATGTATGTTTTTTGATTTTCTGCTCATCTACTTTTATATTTTTTTATATTTTTTTTAGTTGACCAACTTTACCAAAGCCTCGTCGCTTTCTCCACGTGTTCGTCTTTCGATGAGCGATGCTGTTCCTATTGTTATCGAATATGAAATTGAAGGTAATGGATTTTTGCGTTTCTATTTGGCTCCGAAAATTGAAGAAGACAAAAATGGAATGGATGAATAAATTGAAGATGAGACAAGTTTTTTTTGAAAATATTTTGCATTCCTTTTAAGTTTTTAATTCGATCAGTTTTTAAAAAAATCTCTTAAAACCAATATTTTGAATTTTTTTTTGGATTTTTAATCAACACTAATTTTTTACATGATTCAGGAAATTTAAGAATATATTTTTTGTTTTTCTTTGAATAGCGGAATGTCAAAAAATTGAGAGTGAGTTTTGTCATGGATTTTCTGTTTCCTTTGATTTTCAAAATTTTTTACTCAATTTATAATTTAGTGTTGATTAACTTTATTTATTGACGAAATTCCATCATTTATTTATTTTGACTTAAAATTACACTTGCCTTCAGTAAATTAATCTCATTTTTGAAGTTTATGTTCGATTTCGTTGTTTTAATTTATTACTGGTTAAACTCATTTACAAACTTCGATTGTTTTCTATTAATTTAATTGAATTTTTATTCAAATATTTAAATACTTGAGGACATTTACTAAATAGCTCTATAATTATTTAGAAAAATGTCACAATCAAAACAAGATTCGTCAATAATTTCAAGACTTCCGCCTTCAAATGTTGCAGAAAAAATTGAAATTCTCGATCCTGATGGATACAAGGCAGACCAGACAATGTTGACGATTGTTTTACATGAAGAAGATCATACTATTGGGAATGCTTTGAAACATATAATTTGTCAAATGTTGGTAATTTTAATTTTTGGGTCTAATCTTTGCCGGTCTTTATCTAGAAAAATTAAGATTAGAAATACAATTATAAGTGAAATATTGTACGGGAGTACATGGAGTAAAGGGATCAACACTGGGAAAAGTCAAGAAAAGCAAAACTATAAAAAATTTTAATTTCAGGCCAGGTGTTGAGTTTTGTGGTTACAACATTCCACATCCGCTTGAAGATAAAATTCTTATTCGGATCCAAACCGAGAAAGGTTATTCTGCTGGGGATATTCTTTGTAGAGGACTTGAAGATCTTCATACAGTTTTTGATCAAATCCAAAAGAAATTTGGGCAGGCCTATTCAGATTTTAAGACAGGAAGGACAATTGATGATGAAGAGGGAGATGAAGAGGAGGAGGAAGAAAATGATGAATAAATATTTAAATTTTGTTTTTATTTATTTTTGTGTTATATTTTATTAAAAATAAATATTTTAAATCAAAAATTTATTTTTAAAATAATTTATTGGGAAAAATTTCCTTCTTATATTTTGAATAAATAATTTAAATAAAAATTTTAACATTTTAAGATGCAAGCCCTAAGAATTTCAATTAAAGAATATTTTACTAGATTGGCATATGATTATTCCGCGTCTGTAAAAGATTTGGCTTTGGATGTTAGAGAGAATCCTTTCAAAGTTTGTAGAAAATTTTTTTGAATAAAATTTTTTGTAAATTTTTTGTTCCATGCGAACTAGAAAGGGGAATTCTGTTCCGTACTGTAATACCGATAAATACCGGTCAACTTGGAAATTTTATCGGTCGGTATTCCTTACCGTACTATCGTTACGGAATACCGAAAAATACCGTCGGTAGTATGTTACTGTTGGTTTCTAATGCAAACCTTTCTAACAATTAGTAAGGGTTAATTTCCCTCCCCCGAAATGAGGGAAGAGTAAAAAATGGTGGGGAAATTATCAAAAATCATTTTCGCCAAAGGGTTGGCTCACTCTAAATTTATAAATTTTAAACCAATTCTTTTTTAAAAAATATGAAAAAAAAATATTTTTTTCTAGTCAATTGCATCCATTTCTCTCATTTTTGGCTTAACTTTTGCCTACCATAAAAATCCTGGTGAAAGAGAATTGAGAAATAAATTGGCTGATTTACGACAAAAGATGGTACTTATTCCTGTTACAATTCACAGTAGAAAAGCTGGTAAATTTTTAAAGGAAAGATTCTCTTTAAATATTTTAGATAATTGTTTGGAAAAATATACAAAATTATTAAATGAAAAAAGATTGGATTTTGTTAATTTTTGGTTTTTTGCTTTACTCGTTGAAAGGAATTATAATCCAAATGTATTTAATTTTTCTAATTAAATTCTTTTTGAAAATTTTGGGGAAGTTTTTAAATTCAATTGAGGGTATTTATTGTAGACGGGCTTTCAAGGGTGTAGGCACTGCTTACTAGGCAGTGGGTCGATTTCAGGAGGAGGGGCTAAAATGGGAGGTGAGCCAAAAATTTGGCGTTTACTTTGGCGTTCCTAAAGTAAATTAACGCAATTCCTAACGAGAATTTTTTGTAATACTACACAGCCTTACATAGGAATTAAATAACTATATTCTTTACAATATTAAAGTCGGCAATTGAGGTGAATCAAAATAAAATATATTTTTAAAATTTCTTTAGTGTAATTCAAATGAAGCAAATGATCGTATAACTCGTCAATGGCCTTGGATTGAGCTTTGGAGAAATTGTTTTGATTTTGGAATATGTGGACGTTTTTGGATGTTGGAAAATTCTTTTAATGATTGTGATATTTGTGAGGAAGAATTTTTATAGAGATTGTTTTAAATGTTTTTTTTATATTTTTAGATAAAAAAAGTTTTAAATTTCAAAAAATTTAAACTAAGTTTTAAGCAGTTAAGTTATACATATTAATTAAAATAGGTTGCATTTTATGAATTTTTGCCATTTTGTGGGTTTTTTGCCTTTTTGCCATTTTATGCGGGCACGATGCTGTCCACATTGTTTTTGTTTAATCGATAGAACCATTATTATGTATTAAAAATCCAAATGGATAACACAGATAGAGGGCATTTAAGGTTAGATTTATTCTATTTAAATAAGTATAAAAATAATATTTTTTTATTTAAGAAAATGTCTAAACAGTGATGTTTTAATTGATATTTTCTCTTTTCTGGAACGTTCAGTTTTGGTTAAAAATTTTGAACCCGTCAACAGTTATTTTTTGAATATTTCAAAACAAGTTAAAAATGTTCATATAATAAAAAAAGTTAACGAATTTATCTATGAATTGGTAAATAGAGATGAAGAAACAGAAAAAACGACATTTAGTACAAGAAAAAAGACAATATTTACATTTAATTCAAGTAACGGCTCTTTGGCTAAGCATTTTCGTTTAACTTCTTGGCATATTCGTGCTAACTACGGTGAAGTAAAATTTATAAAATTATAAATGATATTAATATTGGAAAAAATAGATGGGAATTTTTAAATCAAATCCCATACAAGGAATCCGAGAGATTTTTCACAATTTTTCTTCTTTACTATTTCAGCGTTATCGCCGCTATGTAATGAGTATGATGCGTCACTCACTTGAACTTTTTCAAAATTGTGATATCTATATCTGTCCACGGAATAATAACATCATCAACCAAAGGCATCAATTTAAAATCACAATTTTGGTGTCATTCGAAAAAGTGTCTATCTCTTTTGATAACTTCTAAATAATTCTACTGGTATGGGCTGGGAGGGGTACAGCCCAAGTAGGCGCTCGGCCATAACAACACAAAGCCACAACTTCTTCAAGATTTCTAAATCTTAACAAATTTAGTATTAAATTCTTCTCATCGAGCTAAAGAGATTGGTACAAAAATTGAAAAGGGTATGAAATCTTCCAGCTAGTTATGGATTTGCGTTGTTATGGCCGAGCGCTTGTGTATCACGGGTTGGGAATTCGCTTTCTCGTCCCAGGGTTATTTTTAGAGTTGATCAAAACGATACTGGTATCGGCCAACCCGAGACCGAGATTGACCGATACTCAAGAACCCGATACCGAGACCGATACCACCATTTTGAGCCGAGACCGATACCGAGAAACGATACTGACCGAGACTAACAACAATTTTTATTTTATGTCAAAAAAGACGTGTAAAAATAATTTATTCATTATTTTCACATCCAAATCAGTAGTAAACCCCCCCCCATACGCCCACATGTCCCACTTGGACATGTGAGGCGTAGAGAGGGGGATGAGTAAAGGTGTAAGGGGTTTTCAGTTCCCATCCGTCCCAGTGGGACCGATGGGTGTTGGGTGACCTTGACAACAAGTACAAGCAATTCTGCGGCTGAAAGGAGATGAACAAAGGGGAAGGGGGTAGAATTTTGCCGCTATTAAACTTTCTATGTCCCAAATGTTCCAGCTGAGTAAATTAGGAGGAACTGGCGGTAAAACAAAAGAAAACCTTTGCTTGTACAAGTACAAGCAAATTTGCGGGTGGATGAAGGTGATCAAAGGGGAAGGTGTGGGTAGTCAACTGTAACTAAGTTTCTCTGATGTTCCACATGCCCCGTGGGAAATTTGAGAGGAACTGGCGGTAAATTAAAAGGAAACCTACCAAAAGGAAACCTTTGCTTGTACAAGTACAAGAAACTTTGCGGGTGAATGGGGATCATCAAAGGGAAAGGTAATATAAGTTCACGCCATTAAGTTTCTCCCTTTCCCACATGTCCCAGTGGGGAATTTGGGAGAAACTGGCGGAACTAAAAAACATTAAACAAAAAATAAAAATAAAGGGAAAATAAAGTTATTGACTTGTCTCCCCCAAAGGTCATTTGCAGGAAAAATTAAAAAAACAATTTTTTCATTAATTTTTCATTTTTTCGGGAATTATAACTAATTTAAATCTATTAGTTAAAAATTTATTTTCTTTATTTTTCAATTTTTTCATTTAAAATAATACGTAGATAAAGAATCTAGATCTTTTTTTTAATAAATTTAATAAATTCTTTTTCTGCGCCGCAGGCAAAAATTTTGAAAAATTTGGAAGAAAATTAAGTTAAAAAAATTAAGTAAAATCAAGTAAAATTCATCCATTTTCTGCGCTGCAGCAGGCAGAAATTTTGAAAAATGGTGGGGATTTCAAACCTGAGGTGTGGACTCCGGCCTGTGGTGTGGAACTCCGGCCTGTGGTGTGGAGCTCCGGCCCAAGGTGTGGAGCTCCGGCCACAGGTGAGGAGCTCCGGCCTAAGGTGCTGAGCTCCGGCCTACGGTTATTTCGCCGCAGGCAAAATTTTTAAAAATTTTGGATGCCAAGACCAAAATTCCTGAAAGTCTAACTATTAGAAGATAAAATTCACGTAAAGTTAGGCAATAGAAGATAAAATGGTGTGATGATAAGAGATGGAAGGTGTAGATTTTGAGGATGTTGCTGTAAAATTAAGCACTAAAAGATAATATTGATGTAAACTTAAGGATTACAAGATAAAATTGATGTAAAGTTAAGCAATAGAAGAAACAATTGATTTAATGCTAAGAAATGAAAGATGTAGGTTTTGGGGGTAGAAATGCAAACTTAAGCATTAGAAGCTACAATTGCTTTAAAGTTAAGCATTAAAAGATACAATTGTTCTAAGCTTAAGGAACATAAGATAAAAATGATGTAGAGTTAAGAAAAAATCACACATTTCTGTAAAAAAAGTCAAAAATATTTGCGTTTCCACGCTACTGGCGGTTGTGGGAGATGGTAGCCATTAGACGTGCAATTTGGCTGCGGAATGTGCCGTATACATATGTTTCTTTAAGGCGCATTCCTTTCTGGCTGCAAGGGGAGGTTTCTTTGGATAAATATTTGTTGTATATAGTTATTATGAGGATATATTGTACTTGGTGGGATAAAATCAGTAAATTCATTTTTATTAAAATAATATTTTTATCTTAAAGTAATCATAAAGTTAATCAGTATTGACAAAGAAAATTCACTATTTAAATTAAAAAATTAATTAATAAAAATAAGTACATATTTGAAAAACCATTATATTTTTTGTGAAAAAAAAAAAACAATTAAATACAATAAATATTATTTTAAAATGCTAAGATTTTCGATAATATTGACAATTATTCCATTAATAGTGGTGGCTGAAAATTGGGACGGCAAAGCCGGAAAGCGAGAATTAGTGACAACATTATTTCGGTGGACGCCAGTACCGATATGGCGTAGGACACCACCACCAGTATTTCCTAGCAAAGATGAAAATAATTCAGCGGAAATTCCAATATGGCGGAGGACACCGCCACCAATACTACCCAATAAATCTGCACATAATTTGGTGCCAATGTGGAGAAGGACACCGCCACCACAAACATTATTTCCAAGCAGAGATTTAAATAATTCAGAGGAACTTCAACGAGGCAATAAATTAATCAATAAATCATTGGATAAAACTGATGGAGGGGAAAAGAAATGGATTGTAAAGGATATTTATTATCCGAAAAAGAAAGATTTAGACAGACAAAGAGAAATAAAAAATATGGGGCGATGGATCTTACGTTGGGACCTTTATGACAACAAGTTCAAATTTGGAAAATCTAATAGAACAGATTACTTAATGTATTCAAGATGGCGATTTTTATATGAACCTCCTATTTCAAACATTATCGATTTTTTTAAAAATTTGTAAATCTATTTTTTAATTTTATCATTTTTTATGTAAATTTATAATGTTTTAATAAATATTTAAATAAAATAAAATTTTCGAATAAATTAATCATAATATATCAAAACATTGCGTTTTTCCCATTGGTTGGGTTTACCTTCTATTTCAATCCAGACTATTCCTCGCCTCGATTTCCCATTAGTGGGTGTAGGAGGTAAGCTTCCGTCGGATATAGGAATACTATTGAGAGTAAGTGTTGATGTAGACGAAGTTGCATGTGTACGTCGAGCCCCAAATTCTGAACAACTTATTTCTGACGGGGGTGATTTAGGAGCAAAACATACAAGCTCAAGCGGGAAGTATCTTTCGCAAATTCCATTCATTGTACAAGTTCTTACTATAACACATTGATGAAACGGATATTGGAGTTTTATTTTGTGATGCGCAAAAAAATATGCCGCAACCGATATATTAAATGGATAACTTAAATCTCCGAAAGCCTTGATTAAATGAGCACCTGATGTTGTAATTCCGTCACATCGAATTGTATATTTCAATCCGTTCCTATCAGAATATTTTGTCTCTATCTTTCCTTTTTCATTTATAAATTTTGCGATCAAATCGGCATTTTCTTGATACATTAGTTTAAATCTCACCAAATAACTTGGACAGTTTAACTTTTTAGCAATATCATCCAAAATAGAATTCATTTTATTGATTAATTCAGATATTATTTAAATGAGCAAATGGTTTATTATACTGACAAGATAAAAGTCAATCTCAGCTTTTTATACTCAAAAAATTTGCCTTGAAAGTTGACTACTCCTACAAAATTTAAAAAGTGGGCGGGACTTGCTGGAGTATATAAACCATGAGATTTCTCAAGTCTCGTTGATTTCTTCATTCATTCTTCTAAATTTATATTTAAAAATAAAATAAAAATGAGCGGATCAAAGAAGGAAAAGATCCCAAAGCTCGAATTAGCTATTGAGCAAAAAAATGATAAAGAGGAAGAGATAATAGAAGTAGAAGTAGAAAAGAAAAAGGTCAATAAGGCAAAACCCCCTACTACGATAGTAAATAACGGGGAAATTGAGAAGAAGAGTGGAATAAACCCGCGTATTTTGTGGAAACTCGTGCGTATGAAGGATACACCGAGGATTGAGATTAGAATTTGCAGAAAATGTGCCATTGCACTCTATAATGATAAAAATAAATTCACTCAGAAGGAGAATGGAAATATTGGAATTTGTTTTGAGATTTGTGAAGCATGTGCAAAATTGAACATGCATCTGAAAGATTTTGCTGCTGACTGGGACGAGAAGAATTTAAAGAACTTTAAAAAGTGATTACAGATTAATATTTTTTTTATTAAAATATTTGTTACCTTATTTATTTTTATTTCATTAATTGTAATAATTTAATTTTAGATAAAAATTTTGAAAAGTTATATTATTTATTAACATAGGAGAAATTTCTAAAAAATTTTAATCAGACTTTTCCGTAGGCCACGCCCATTTCAAAATCTTTTTTAGGGTTACGTCCATTTCAAAATCTTTAGTAAAAAATCATTCATCAGGATAAACTAGTTTATTTCCAAAAATCCAAAATTTAAAATGAGACGCTACGCCGATCAATTTAAAGTGAACATGATAGTATTAGTAAAGAACAAAAATAAATATGGAAAAAATGTATGGCTTTCAGGAACGATAATCGATATGGCTGGTAAAAAATGTAAAATATCGGTTCCTCGATTGAACTCTATTATTAGAAGATATGTTTGGCAGATCAAAAAATTTAAATTTTCAATTGTAAACCTCCGTTCTGAAGAAAGAACAATTATTAAACTATTTGATAAAATGAGTTTAAATGGCCAACAGAGAGCTAGGAAATAAGTGTGGCCTTGACAACACTAAAAAAGGAGTAAAAATCTTTTCTAGTCTCATTTTAAACAATTAAATTAAATTAAAAATGTCAAATTTATTGGAAAATATTTAAAAAAAAAATTGGATTGTACTGTGGAATCTGTGCGTTTTAAACTAACAAATAATTCTGAAAGATTGTAAAAATGAAAGATTGTAAAATTCTTGATGATATTAAGGGAAAAGCTTTGAAGACAATCTACTTTCATAAAAGCGGCACAAAAAGGATTATATTCTGCGATGGAATTACTACATTAGGTTCTCATCAAATAAGGGCATATGGAATGGAATTTAAAATTTTCCGTTTGGGGATCAGAGGATTTATTCTTGCCTTCTAAACTTTCAAGAAGTTTCGATTTTAGATTTCCACAATATTACACTTTATATTTTCAATCATTAATTAATATTTAATTTTAAATTAATTCAATATTTTTATAAATTACGAATTGTTGCATTTTTGATTTACGAATTACGATTAAGAATTTTTAAAAAAATTTTTGTAAATTTCTCTTTAAAAATCCTTTATACTAAATTTTAATAAAAAGTAATACTTAAATTAATACTATAAAAAGATAATACTTAAAAAACTTACTTAAATTAATTTTTAAATTTCAATTTAAAATTACTAGTTATTAATTGAGAATATTAATAATCTATTTAAACTTAAAAGCTATTTTATCTAAATAATTAATCATAAAAATTAATATAGGGTTTTAACGAAAAGTTATCTAAATTTTTGATCAAAATAATATTTTTTATTTTTTTCTTGCGAATCTTTTATTAAAGAATTAATAAAACAATTTCTAATGGAGAATATGGAAAAATTCTGAAATTGAATTTTCTTATTAAATTATCCTGATTATCTTTATGGCTCATAAGTAAGTAAAAAAGACATACTAGTAAAAAAGACATAAATAAAGCTTTATATTTTATATAAAATATAAATTTTCAGTAAATTCAGCCTGCCGCGTTATAAAAGGATGAAATATGGCTTTATGAACATCCAAAATTCTAAAAATTTTCACCTGCGGTGGTGTATATTGAATGCAATATAGAATGCTTAGAATGGTTATTTAGTTATTGTCAATTTAGTATTGATAATTTAGTTAAAATTTATTAAATATATTAATTAATTAAATATATTCTTGATAGTTTAGTTAAAAGCCGCTTTAGTGAAACCAAAAAATTTCTGTAAACCTTTTCAACATTATGATAAAAGCAAGTAAAAATTCAGGGTTCACATCTGAACTTTTTAAAAATCTAGAATTTTGACCTAAAAATAGCATTTTATCAAAAATCCGCAGAAAATTATTAAAATCATTAAGACCATAAAATTAATTAAATATATTCTTGTAATACAAAAAATAATCTCATAATCTTCAAAAGAACCTTTTCAACATTATGATATTTAAAAATATTCCTCACTGATTTTCTAGGAAAACACAAATTTTTACTTATTCCTATTAAAAATTATAATATTTTTGTTTAATAAACTTAATATACATATTATATCTCTTATAACAATTGCTTTAATAAAAATCTAATTTTTTTCTTTGTTTTCCCACAGAAATTTTGAGCTTCTAAAGCAAGGCATAACCTCATACAATTTACAACATATTTAAAAATTATGGCAATAATTTGAAAAAAATTTTAATGCAAGCAAGATGTAAATGTATGAAATCGCCCCATAATGACTAAGTAAGGTTGGAGGACGATACCACAGGTGCACTCTTAATTCTCCCTTTAAGAAAATTTTTGTGAAAATATTTTAAAAAATTAGGATATTTTAAATATTTCTATTTTATATTAACATTTTTGTGTAAGTTATAAATTTTTTTCTATTTGCTTCCATTTTAGTGAAAATAATTTTGATAAAAACCTAAGAAAATTGAAATTTTTAGGAAATGTTAACTAGGAAAGTGTGGAAAAGTGGGAAAATTTAAAGGGTTTCAAAGTTTATGTCGACAGAGCTCCGGCCTAGGGTGTGGAGCTCCGGCCTAGGGTGTGGAGCTCCGGCCTAGGGTGTGGAGCTCCGGACTTATGAGCTATTTTAGAATTGATTTATATGTAATAAAATAAAATGAAGTGAAACTTCCCTTTTTATTAGCAAAATCCAGCCAATGATGACAATATACCGAACTTTACATATAGTAATATAGTATAATTTTAAGGTTGATTTGGGTAAAACGTCGTTACAAATTTCTTAAATTTCAAAAACTTTGTGGTTTTTTCACTTATTATGTCTCTATGTGTCTTTTATCTTTTATCTTTATTAAATCTTATTTTGTGAACTTTGACTTTAAATAATCCATAACTTACATAAATCCTAACTTTTAAACCATAGCTTTACAATAATCTTAATT